TCTGTGATGTAATGCTGTGATGATAGTTCATTTTTCAACCAAAATTTCAATCCTTTTTCTCATGGATGGTGAACGTTATTGAATGTCAAGCATGAGTACGTTGTTCTAGAACTGTCAGACAATTTCAGAAAAGGCCGCAGGCACAATAACCTTCCGCCTTGTACCTGCCGGTATGGCGGATATTTATCCTAGTTATATTAATTATGGAACAAGGAAATAAGTCCAACTTCATTCTAATAGCGTTTCGGGTTCAAGAGTTCTTTCTCGTAACGAATGTCTTTGCTTTGAGAACGAAGGAATGTATTAGGGTTGATTTGGAGTGTGTTTTTGTAGCCTGTTGCTGTAAAAACACTGCTATGTAATGTTCCTGCTATTAAGGAAAACAATGAAGACTCCCTTCTTTCATAATGTTGTGGCATTTGGCTCAACATGTCGTCGTGGTGTCAATACTGCACTGTAGAATGGTCGGAAATTTGCTTTAAATAAAATAAATAGGCACTATATATGTCGTCGTGGTGCCAATACTGCGCTGTAGAATGGTCGGAAATTTGCTTTAAACAAAATAAATAGGCACTATACATGTCGTCGTGGTGCCAATACTGCACTGTAGAATGGTCGGAAATTTGCTTTAAACAAAATAAATAGGCACTAAACATGTCGTCGTGGTGCCAATACTGCGCTGTAGAATGGTCGGAAATTTGCTATAAACGAAATATATAGGCACTAAACATGTCGCCGTGGTGCGAACATTGCACTGTAGAATGGTTGGAAATTTGCTATAAACGAAATATATAGGCACTGAATGTCTATGGCAACACATCACTACATGTATTTCGTTTTGTTTGTTTGTTGTTAAGCACAGAGCTTCACAGTGGGCTGTCTGTGCTCTTACCACCGCTGGTATCGAGTCTTGGATATTAACATTATAAGCCTTCAGACTTACCGCTGAGCCACTAAGGGGCATGCATGTCGTTTAAATAAAACCATATTAACCCTTTACACGCTTGTGTTGACGATGTTTTACGTCAACTCGTCTGGATAACAGCACATAAAAAGTTTTTCACAACAAACAATGTAGTTTAAATGAAATAACAGTTCTTAATCTCTATATTAAAAATACAATCGCCTCTACTTTGCGATATTGCAATTCTTCTATATCTGTCTAGAAGTCCTTACAGAAGATGTGATATTGTAATTTTCCCACAACTGTCAACGAGGCTTAAGGTTCGTTAGTCCTACATTAAATGCGAAGCATGCCTATGTCTGGTCTAGAATAATAATTGATAAAGGGTAGTTAATCACATTGGCGAGTAAAATGAAACAGTGTATGGTAGAACTAAATTTCTACAAGCAAATACCTCACAATAAAATAAGGAAAGGAAGAAGAGCGCGAGCTGGTTGAGCATCGTTGTCTCATGAATCAATACATGTTAGATAAGACTGGTTGAACATTCAAGCTTCTCACACGCAACATCTTTGAAATATGTAGTGATGCCTTTATAAAATTTTTACCCTAATCCGAGAAGGATCACTGTAGCCTTAAAGTTTATTGAAACATAATTCTACAAATTATCAGTGGTAATATCACAGAAAGGTTGTAGTTAGAAGCAATGTGTATCAGATAGCTTCCTTCGTAATTAGGTGTTTATTACAGTGGAAGAGAACCTGCATCAATATTAACTGAATTCTCAGCTGTTACATGGGATAACTTTGAAGCTGGTCAACACACCCTTCACTGTAGCGTTAGTTACGGAACATACCTAAAATAGTGTTCGTTGTCCATTCTTACAGTTCTGTCAAAATTACTGGAATAGAGATCTGTTTAACATGTGTAAGATGGGCCATAGTTGCACCAACTATCTGGAGATTCATCAAGAAGCATGAGAGGTAGCAATCAGACTTGATCACCACCAATACCAGTCTAGCTCAAGAACCACCCTCGCCTGTCCTCTTCAACGTTTATACCAATGATTTAGCCTACCTTAATAGTTCAATCAGATTTTGTGTATTAAGTTTTGCTGACGACATTTGGAGGTACAGAAGAGGTTTTAACAAAGGTGAAATTATATGTAAGATGTAATCATCCATTACCAGGAAGTTTTGCTGACGACATTTGGAGGTACAGAAGAGGTTTTAACAAAGGTGAAATTATATGTAAGATGTAATCATCCATTACCAGGAAGTTTTGCTGACGACATTTGGAGGTACAGAAGATGTTTTAACAAAGGTGAAATTATATGTAAGATGTAATCATCCATTACTAGGGTGAGAAAACGGTGCAATGACATAGATCGACAGGAATGCATGCAAATTGAAACAGAAAATAAAACAGAAGAACATCACCTGCTTATGCTCCTTCAAAGTACTTTCTACTCCATCGCAAGTTATGCACTACTACTAAGGATCAATATGAATGTTACACAGTTAGATAAGATGCTTATGCTCCTCCAAAGTACTTTCTACTCCATCCTAACTTATGCACTACTACTACTAAGGATCGATATGAATGTTACATAGTTAGATAAGATGCTTATGCCCCTCCAAAGTACTTTCTACTCCATCCTAAGTTATGCACTACTACTACTACTAAGGATCAATATGAATGTTACACAGTTAGATAAGATGCTTATGCTCCTCCAAAGTACTTTCTACTCCATCCTAACTTATGCACTACTAAGGATAAATATGAATGTTACATAGTTAGATAAGATGCTTATGCCCCTCCAAAGTACTTTCTACTCCATCCTAAGTTATGCACTACTACTACTACTAAGGATCAATATGAATGTTACACAGTTAGATAAGATGCTTATGCTCCTCCAAAGTACTTTCTACTTTAGTAGTAGTAGTGCATAACTTAGGATGGGGATCAATATGAATGTTACACAGTTAGATAAGATTGAAAAGACCTGTTTTAACTGTTGAAGGAATGTACGTCAGTCATCCCTATCAACGATCTTTTATACCTCATAAGCTTCAGCAACATTACAGACCAGGAGAATGAAACTGATGTTTAAGTTATTTCACACGAAGACATACCGGCCAGATCATTGTTTCTGTTCGATCAGATTGTGCAAACGGCAAGCTGAAGTCTCATATGTTGGATGATATGTAAAGAAGGCAGACGAATGATCCAACTTTTTATGGGAGGATTAATTACCGTACACTGGTATCATGTAACACGATTATAGCTCGGTAGCGCCAGTAACATGTTTTACTTAAAAGCGGTTAAACCTATGTATTGTCACGAGTCATTAACATGTTTTCGAATGAATAATTGCGTCACAAGCTTCAAGTTTGGGCAAACAAGCATCAGAAATAAGTGAAAATCAGGCATGCAATGAACTGCAATAAACGATAAGACAAGTTGTCACAGTTGACAACATGATGCGAGTAAACAGACGAATCCACAATACAATTTACAAATTGGATATAAGTATTCAATGATGGGAAACACTGTTCGTAAAGCACGTGTACTCAGTTGCATTCGCAATAATGAAAATCATAGAACGATGAAGAAAAGGTATCGTACTTGACGAATTCTTTGTTTTGAAGTAATATCTGTTTCGTTTGTTAGTTCTGATCAGGTATAATTTCCTACATAAAATAAACGTGGTTTGTTTTTAACAATCCTCGTGTATATATATTCATCCCGATCTATTTACATAAATAATACGTATCCACACATTCTTACATTTTATGTAGCAAAACTTTTTCTTTCGTATTTCTGTTAATATTTTACGAATCCTGCAATACAAGAAATAAAGTACCACAAGTGTCAGAAAATATTTTAATGTAAGGTTCGTCGGTATATTAAATAAATGTCTTAAATATAATTTTTTGTTCACTTCAAATTTAGCAATCGCAAGTTGGTTGGTATAGTTATCTTATAAGACATGCGCATGTATCGAAGACAGTTTCCAGTTTAAGATAAAACAGAATCAACCAAGGGTCAAAGAATGGTTTAAATTCAAAGTCAAAGAGATAATCAAGTGTTGAGCAATTATTTTAGATAGAAGTCAAACGGGTGTAATAAAGCTGGTTGGAAGGTAAGTCCAAAAACTTTCTAAATCCATGTATGGAATCTAAAAATGTCAGAATATAATGTTTGTTGTGGGTGTAGTAATCGATTTATTATTTATTAACTACTAACAGGGTAAGAGTTCCATATGGCACCCCATATTAAAACATAATATTTATGTATTAATAAATCATATTAATAGTACGATCTGATAATTTTAATACATTATTATACAACTTACTTCATTAATTAGATGTACAATCTTCTTGGGGATAAACTTTACAAATGTCTTGTATAAAGGCATCAAAAAGGCTACTTTTATCAGAATATAATGTGGAGAACCACATGTATTCACACAAATGCTTGTCAAAGCTATGCCCCAATTTTTCTAATACGCCCCTTAATATAAACCCTTTTCAGAATCTTTTTTATCCAGGTAATTCTACAATTTTTGGGTGCGGGTGCCATATGGAACTCTTTCCACTAAGAGTAGTTTCTAAAAAACAAACAATCGTTTGTGTGTGTGTCGGTGTACATGTTTTTTTATTATCTATGTTTGTAAACAGAGTGTAAAATTTCGCTGTTCCAGTAGAGGTAAAAATTAAATTGTTACTGAGGTGGTTCTCTATATTTAAGTTTCAACTACATACCCCTCTAATTAACTCTCCAATCATACCGTTCCATTCTCCCTCCTCGTTTTTAATACCGTAAGCATTGTCTTTAACCAGTTTAAACCGGTAGCTGAAGCCTAACTGCTTAGAAAGTTCGTGAATGATATCCACACAGTATCCTTCGTAACGGTCATTTCCTCCTAGCAACTGGGCCGATTCTTTCAACATAGTGTAGGGGGGATTCTATTCGAGAAAAAAGTAAAAAAAAATACAAAGGTTGATCAGGTTTAACATAAAGATGATATTTTGTTATAAAGCTAATAAAATAAGCTATAAGAAACATTCGAGTGATTTTTTTTTCTTACATGTCGTGTATTTTCAGAGAAGTAATTTCTAACTTTATATTACGACAACGTTTTTTAACCTGTGCCTTAAGGCTAAAAATAAATATGCTAATATTTAAATTTACTTAATTCAACTTACTATCACTGTGGTAACGATTAAACTCTTGTTCTGCATGAGTAATGAGTTGTACTCAGCCGAGGCGTTCACAGTAATATTTACTCCATAGTTCGGATGCCACGTACCAATCTGGAATGAATGAAAAAAAAAAGCACAAAATGTAAGAAAGCACAGTAAAATTCAATACGAATACAAAAAACACCTGAACGGTTAACCCCTCATTATAAATTTCAGTATTTTTTTAAAGGCACCCATAAAAAAATATCAAAGAATGGTAATGAGAAACGTAAACCAAAAAGTAAAGTTACATCTCATTTTTAACTTAAATTAAAAAGAAATATTTAGAAATTACCTCTTCAATAAACATTTTTGTTTCCTTAAATTTTTTTTTTCAAAGAACATTTGTAATAAGGCTTTGGATTTAGTTGCTCCTCGTATTTTTCTCGATGCAAAAAAATTCAGTAAACATTTTCGCTTCGTCGTTTCTCCTATTTTTCTTTCTGAGCAAAGGGAAATGTAAAAAATAATTACGTTTTTTTAGATTCTCTTATTTTTTCTTTAGTATTTCAAATTCACGCTTAGGTTACGTAGTTTCTTTTATTTTTCTTTCTGTGTCGAAACAACCTGTAATATACATTTGGGTTATTTGTTACTATGTTAGAAGGACTTAAAATATGCAATGGCGATCATAGTTCCCTGTATTTATTTTAAGATATGTCTGTGTTTCTAATGCTAAAATATTTATAAATAGCTATTACAAGAAATCCCATTTATAATACTTTATTGTAGGCTTTATATGCCTTTATTCTAATATTTTAGTATCATCACATATGAAATTTCATCCTACACTACTTATGCTTCGACGTGAATATTATTTATATTTCCAAAATATATAATTGTTTGTTTGTTTTGAATTTCGCGCAAAGCTACACGAGTGCTATCTGCGCTAGCCGTCCCTAATTTAGCAGTGTAAGACTAGAGGGAATGCAGCTAGTCATCACCACCCACCGCCAACTCTTGGGCTACTCTTTTACCAACGAATAGTGGGATTGACCGTCACATTATAACGCCTTCACGGCTGAAAGGGCGAGCATGTTTGGTGGGACGGGGGATTCGAACCCGTAACCCGCAGATTGCGAGTCAAGTGCCCTAACCACCTGGCCATGTCGGGCCGTAATTAAAAAAGTGCTGACATTTTCTAATGAAATAAAAATTATTTTCTTCTGCTATGTATGAAATTACGTAAAGAACAGTCACTTCTTACCAACATCTATCAGGATAGTTATAATATGAAAGAAGATTTTTGCCCCAAAATATTTTATGGGAATATGAGATTCGTTTAATTTTGCGGATAAAATGCAAACTTATTTCAAAACTTCTTTAAATAATATGTCATTTAGATTATTTTTCAAAATAACAAGGAAGAGTTTAACTTAAATTCCGTTACAGCATAGTCTGTCTCTCACAAACACGTTACAAACCTTCTTCAGTCCATCATCGAACAGAAAGAGAAGGTCCAAATTAAAATCTGAACGATATCCTTGTTGGTCGAACTTTACTTCTCCTGTTAATCCTTGTATCTTGATCTGAAAAAAAATATTAAAGCTCTTTGCTCATTAAAGTCTAAAAAATGAATATGGATTAACTATAAAAAAAACGTTTGCATATCATTATTTTCATTTTGAATTTTATGATCATATAACAAGAAAATTTTTGTCTTATTAATAAATGCATCACCATCGTCACACATGTATTAGGTCGTCAAGAAATTAATGTCGCCTTTTGGAAAACTTTCATTGACCACTCCCCCCAAAAAAGTACATCATGTATAATAGCTAAACGAACTGCCTAAACGCCACGTTAGTGTAGCCTATATAATGTGTAAAGTTTAGTATACTCTAATCTCATATAGTGATGGCACACGACCAGACACACATTCGGCATGTAATGCTCTTTGAATACAAGAAGGGAAACAACGTCTCTGTAACCACAAATAAGTTTATGGAAATAGTTTTGAACGTTCGTAAGTGTCAACGATAGTTCAGCAAAT